TTATTCCCTATTTCATCATCTCTCTATCTCTCTATCATTCCCTATTTTATCATCTCTCTATCTCTCTACCATTCCCTATTTTTATCATCTCTCTATCTCTTTATCATTCCCTATTTCATCATCTCTCGATCTCTTTATTATTCCCTATTTCATCACCTCTCCTCTCTCCTCCTCTTCACTCGGATCCCAAGCGCCCGACTTCCGCTCCTGGGATAGTCTCTGTCCCTAAGATTATCGATAATTACCCTGACCTCCTGTTTTAGACATCACCTGCGATTTAGCCCTGGGCCACGATCGATTCACCTATCCCCCCCCCCTCCTCTTCCCCGGTCTCCTCCCCCCCCCCCACCTCCTCCTCTTCCTCGGTCTCCTCCCCCTCCTCGGCCTTCTCTCGTCTTTCTCTCCTACTATTATCATCGATTCTCTTCTCTTCTTTCACTAATCTTGATCCTCTTATTTCCTATTTTCTCTTTCCTCTATCCCCGATCCTCTCTCTCCTACAGGACCCCCTCTCTTCTTCTTCCTTTTCTCTATCCCCGTTCCTCTTCTCTCTACCCTTATTCCTGTCTCCTCTTCCCCCCCCCCTACCCCTCTATCCTTTTCCCTGCCCTCCCCTACCCCTACACGACCTCCCTTCCCCTCCCCTCCCCTACCCCCCCCCCCTTCCTCTTCCCCTACACGACCGAGCACCCCCACCTCCCCCTAGTTCGGCCTATGCTAATTTCTTTAACGAAAAAAAGAAATAATTTGAACGTTCAAGCATTTATGAGGAGGGAGGAGAGGGGGTGGGGAGGGGTGATGATGGAGAGTGGGGGGGGAGCGGAGGGGAGGAGACGGGGTGGGGAGGATGTTAGGAGGGGAGGGGGGAGGGGTGATGATGGAGAGTAGGGGGAGGGGATGGGAGGGGAGGAGAGGGAAGGAAAGAGGAAGAAGAAAGATGGAGGAAAGAATGAAGAAGGAGGGAAGGAGAAAGAGGAAGGGGGAAGGAAGGAAGAGGAAAGTGAAGGACGAAAACAGAAAAAAGTGAAAGAGAAAGAAAAGAAGGAGACCGAGAGGAAAGGGGAGAAGAAGAGGGAAAAAGAATAAGAACCAAAGGAGAAGGAAAAGAAAAGAAAGAAAGGAAAGAGAAACGAAAAGAGAGAGAAGGAGAGGGAGAATAAAGGAATTAATGGAAAGAGAACAGGAATGAAAGGCAAGAGAAGGCCAGAGGACAAGAGCATAAAGAGAGAAAGAGAGATCATGGCATCTCATGAATATTTACGTACATAATTAATGTAGGATAATATTTGTAATGAGGCTGAGTATCCTGTAACAGTGTGTTGGGGGGAGGGGGGAGGGGGGTAACAAGTGCCTCTTTTAAGGAAAAATTTTTGAGGGATAAAAACACTCTTGTTTTGCTAATACACAAGCTTGAGGTTATTTTCTGTTATTTGAGTTGATTTTTTAAATTGTTTTTTTTATTCTTATTATCATCATGAGAAGAAGCACATGAACCAGAGACACCATCCTCTTTATCATCATCATCACCATCTGATATCATCATCATTATCACCATCATCATCATCATCACCATCTGTTATCATTATCATTATCACATCATCATCACTATCACCATCTGATATCATCATCATCACGGCCACTACTACCCCACCATCCCCATCACCACCATTAGCCTTATCACAATCACCATCTGATATCATCACCATCATCACCACCACCAATACTAGCCTTATCACCATTGCTATTACCACGCACACACACACACACCACACACACACACACACACACACACACACACACACACACACACACCACACACACCACACACACACACCACACACACCACACACCACACACACACACACACACACACACACACACACACACACACACACACCACACACACACACACAACCACACACACACAACACACACAACACAAACACAACACACACAACACACAGCCACTCACACACACACACACACACAAAAAAATTATTCCCACAAATTTTCCAAAAAACTGTTAGAAGAAGAGAGAGCAAGTGACGAGGTTAGTTAGAAGGTCGTAAATTTAGCGTCGCCGACTGACCGTTTCCCACGGCCGCTAATGAAACTGTTAATTGAATTATGTAACTGGCATTTTGCTCGTCGACTTTTAACTTTATCTGACTTCGACTGGGAGTGGCCGAAGAAAGGTCTTGTGCAGTTAAAACTAACGAGGTTTTTAAAATGCGGGACAGTGGATAGTATAAATATGAATGTATATGTGTGTGTTTATGTTTATATATGTATGTATGTATGTATATGTATATGGTTATATATATATACATATATGTACGAATATATGATATATGTATATATATATATATATATATATATATATATATATGTATATGTGTATGCATACATTTATGTATATATATTTACGTATATATGTGTATGTAAATATACGGATATATATATATATATATATATATATATATATATATATATATATATATATATATGTATATGTATTTATACACACACACACACAACACACACCACACACACACACACACATATATATATATATATATATATATATATATATATATATATATATATATATATATATATATATATATATACATGTGTGTGTGTGTGTGTTTGTGTGCGTGTGTGTGTATCAGTGTGTGTGTGTGCGTGTGTGCATATGTGCATGTGTGTGCGTGTCAGTGTATGTGTGTGTGTGCGTGCGTGTGTGTGAATATGTGTATGTATGAATATCAACATAAACAAATTAACATATTAATTGATAGAAGATTTTTGCGTGCGTGAGTGCGTTTCTTGCAAGCATGTCTACATCTACAAAAGAAAGCTCGAGAAGGAATCACAACATCTACCTTTCTGTACAAATATTACGATTGGAAACCATGATGTGATTGGGAAATGATTCAAGGAAAAATTAAGACGAAGCCTCCTCCTTCCCTCCTTCTTCCTTATCCGTGGAAGGATTATTTATACTTTTTTTTGCCTCTCGTCGCTACCAAGATTTTAAAGTCTAACGAGATTAGCTCACAACAACAACAACAAAAAATAACAAGAGGTTTCTCTTAAAACTAAGCAAACGTGAAATAAGAGGTTTCTTTTAAAACGTGAAAACTTTTAAGTGAATTTCGTAGCCTCGCCATGTGCCTTGAGGGTCACGTGGTTGAGAGTGAACGAAGCATTATGTTATGAGAAAAATAGTATAAGCAATTACGATAAAAGAAAAATAAAGCGACCGATGTGTTAGCAGCTGAAATATGAAAGGCAGGCAGTTCTCTGGTAAATAATTGTAACGCTTTCGGTTAAGCTGTTGATGAGTACATAAATAGTGTAGGTTGATAAAGGGGAGATAGAAAAATCAGAGAGGGTGTGGATAGAAAGATGCAATGGGGAGAGGAAGAGGAGGAGGAGGAGAGGAGAGAGAGAGAGAGAGAGAGAGAGAGAGAGAGAGAGAGAGAGAGAGAGAGAGAGAGAGAGAGAGAAGAGAGAGAGCGAGCGAGAGAGAGAGAGAGAGAGAGAGAGAGAGAGGAGAGAGAGAGAGAAGAGAGAGAGAGAGAGAGAACGAGAGTGAGAGAGAGAAAGAGACAGAGTGAGAGCGAGAGCGAGAGTGAGAGAGAAGAGAGAAAATGAGAGAGGAGAGAGAAACAGAAGGAGAGAGAGGAACATAATTGCCTTCGTAGTTTTGTTTAAATATTCCATGTTATCTTGACGCTCCCCTCAAATAGAACATTAAATGTTTATAATTACTTTCGGTGCCGAGTTCTAGAATACAGTGGGTGGAAGAGGCAATACCGGTTAGCACTCCAACTGAGAGATAGACATAGATAGATAGATAGATAGATAATAAATAATAATTGATGGATAGATATATAGATAGTTAGGCAAGTACTTAGATGAAAAGATAGATTGGTTGGTAGGTAAGTCGATAGATACATTGAAATAGATGCATAGACAGTTAGAAAAGACAGAGAGAGAGATAGAGAGGGAGGGAGAGAAAGAGGGAGGAGAGGGAGGAGAGAGAAAAAAAGGGAGGGAGAGAGAGGAGGAGAGGGAGAGAGAGAGCGAGAGAGCGAGCGAGTGAACATATAGTAGTTTACGTGTTTAACCTGCCATATACTAAAACTTTCAAACTATCCAAGGATTACTTGTTAACTCAAATCACCATGACGATGGAGTATTTGCATATTTCCTATCATCACAACCCACAATAAAAGCCCTTGCAAATTATCATCAAAGGGGAAATAACTCGCAAATGGTGCAACAGTGCATCGTTTCTTATCCGCTAGAACTGCAAGCTAAGGACAAAAGCCACATTGTTCGTATTAATAGTTTTCTACACAGGAAATATCTCGTTCTGTGACACTCGAAATAAGTCGTTGTGTGCGTGATTGTAACTTTGGTTCGTTTCGTTTCAGTGATGGTTCTAAACAAGTGTGTAAAAAATAAGTTTTAAATACCCATTATATGGATATCGAGAAGAGAGTGTTCTTTGATCTACGGGTTTAAAATACTATTGGGATTAATACCAATTGTATGTAAGTGTCACATTATAATGATGAGTGGTAAAGAAAATTTAGTAGAGCGTTTGATCTATAATAAAGCTTATATCGATTTACAGTGTGCATATGTAACAGTGATTTCTTGAGCATATAATAGTTAGTCCTGGTGGTTTGCGTCGAGGTCTCCGGTCCACCAATCAGCGTCCGCGAAAGAGTTCTGGAGGCGGGGCATATTTGAGTTGTCGTTCGGTGATTTTTTAAAAATACGCTTATTATTCGGTCAAACGTATTAGATTTGCATTATTTCTTATGCTGTTATATTTGAAATTCGATAAGTATTGTTAGTGTTATCAGATATAATAAGAAAAGTGTGTATTAAAGGTGTAAAAAGTCTCAAGAAGTGGAATCGGCTAGCGCGTGAGCCTCTCGAGCGGCGGGAAGACACGAAGTTGCCCATTTTTCTTTAGTTGTGTCGGAAAGGCTGTGACGGGAGGTCTATGTCACGCGTGTTGGAGAAGGATTTTTAGCCTGCGAGGCCCACCTGTTGCAGTGTTGCATGTGAATTGTGGATTTGATTGCCGAGAGATAATACGTGTTAACTCTCTTAAACTCCCCCTCGAGGAGAGATCTGTGAGATCGAGTTTTAAAAGAAAGTTTGAAGGAACTTGAGGTGGCAAAGGACAACCTCTGACCTCCTTCCAGACGGGATTTAAGTTTTGAAGTGTTAAAAGTCCTTTTCTGTGGTTGACGATGATGACCCTGTGTTAGTGATTCTTGGGATTACTAAAAGAAAACATCAACAACAACGACGCAACGATGACTTGGATTACCCTGCTGATAATAGGTGAGTACAAAATCATATTCAAGAATTCCAAGTTCACTCCTTCACCCTCTTCAAGATAACAGAATTTTCTAGAATATCTCCCGATCTAAGCACCGTGCAGTAGCGTAGATTTGATGCAATAGTCTCATTTGCAACGACAATGCCCTTCCCTGACAGTAAACACGACACCGGGTCATGGAGTAACGATACGGTGCATGTGACCCCACCCCGCTGACCTCCCTTGACCTTAGTCCTGTTCTTTCATTCGCAGGCGGGATGAAAACTTGGAAAACTTTGTCAAATAGTTTATATTATTTTATTTTATAAGACTATTGATTACAATCTGGTCATACTCGAGTAAGGTTTGGTTCTTTGAGATGTTGGTCATTTGAGTGTTACACTTGTACCCAAAGTGAGATGTTCGTATAATAAGGATAAATAGGATAATTTATAAATTGCGCTTTTTGTGAAGTATATGTATTAGGTAAAAACTCTTGAAATCGCGAAACGTGAAACTCCTCTTCGAACTTAGTTCTCTCAAAAATTATTTCGGATAAGTATCCTTTCATTAAAATTGTACAGTGGGTTATGGCATTTCAGATGTAGTAATTTTTGTTTCCAGTTTTCCTCCTGTCGCTCGACCTCACTTTCCGCTTGACCTCGTTTGCCCTACCTGAGCGTGACCTCACTTCACCTGAGTAACCGAGTGTAGGCCTACTAGATGTTAAGATAAAAGCCTAGAGCTTAATAGTGTCTTCTTTCTCTTTTAATTACTGAGATCCTATGTAAAATAGTCTTCTTTATAAATTTGGCATTTGATTTTATATTATCTACACACAACTTGATTACGAAACAAAATAATTTTGTCATCCTGGATATTACGATAACCTGGTCATATTCGAGGAAAGAAACCAGATAAACGTTTTTTAAAGCATGCCTTGTCAGAGCGCAGGAATGCCAACAGTATAGAGATTTTTAAGAATGCCACCTGTGTTTTGCACGATTCGAATTCTTGCTGGTTTTCGTAAGCAAGATGTGCCTGTTTGTGCCATCGCCATCGACAAGTTGGGGTGTTTCTCAACCGGGGTTTGACTTGGCTTGTATTCACTGCGCGGGTTTGCTTTATATCTCACTTTTGTATGTTTATTTCTTGTACCTCTTCTTTCCTTTCGTGTCGCTGTAAGTCACGTCCGTTCCATTTTTTCTATTTCTCCCAGTGTTACGTCTTATACTTTCTCTCCTTTTCCTCTACTATGCTAATGTTTATTTTCGTATCTTTCCTTCTTTCTCTTTATTTCGTCTTCTCAGGTCTTTTTTTTTCAATTCCCCATATTCCTTCGTTCGACCCACGTCATTGCTTTCTCCCCCATTCTCCATCCTCCTATGCATTCCTTTCGCCCTGACTCACTCCCAAAACACGCGTAGGCCCACTTTCATTTTATTCTCTCGTTTGTTCCGTTAGCTTGTTTGTGCCGCTTGTTTAGTGATGTAGCACGAATCACGATTTTTGTTTGTGTTTGCTTGTGTGTAGGTCTATTTTTTATATACTTTTACTGGCTCTGATGTTCATCGATGTTGATCTGCTCTCTTGGTGCGAAGTCGGTGTTGTGTGACGAACTATTCCTTGGCGTTGTATTGAATAGGCCTACGTGTATCTGACGTGTTTCTTTTTATATAAGGTTGTGGATTTCAGGAGCTTGTTAGTATCATAGTAATATATGCAAAAATGATTGAAAATGAACTTCTGAAATAGAAGATTTTACTTGCCTTGAACCTTGAAGTCACCGAAAATTATTCATGTCGGAGTCATTACTGCGTTGAGTCACTTGAGCCACCTTCCGGTCTCTCGGCTTGGTTAGAGAATTGCTGTTTGCAGTGTTTGCGTTCGTTGTTTGTCGTTTGCCGTTCGTTATTGTCGTTTGCCGTTCGTTGTTTTGTTGTTTGTCGTTTTGCCGTTCGTTGTTTGTCGTTTGCCGTTTCTCGTTGTTCCGTTCGTTCTCGTACCATTTCTTGTACCCTTGACCGGCGCCAGGGAGAGAGATTCAGTTGAATACTGATGGGTTGGTACGTGTTGAATTCCACGGGCGTTGCAATGCTTGGGTTGTCCGACTTTCTTTTAAACTTGTATTTTCGTATTTTAAATGGAAAGGGAAGAGGAAGAGTATACTACCATTTTGACGATTGATGTGTGTATTTGTTGAGCGCTTTGTTTGTACATAGTTGGAGTAGTTTTACAAAGGGAGTTAGTCTGTGTGCAAATGAAGTGTACCCGGCACTTAGATTAATGACTCGAGTGTCGTTTGTTTGGTTGTAGTTTGCTTTGTACTAGCACGCTAAAGCAGTTTTTGATAATCTTTTTTTTTACTAGTCCATTCATACTTGTATTGATGTCACACACTCTTTGGGTATGCATGACAGTGATGTCTCCCTCCGTCGTGTGACATGAAGTCGTTCTCCACGCACAGCACGACCCCGAAAGCGCACGACTCACCGCCAAGCATGCTGGGCAATTTGGCAGTACGTTTTTAAATTGTTGTTTCGACGATTTATTGATCTTTCTACCACCGGGCGTGCATTGTTTTCTCAACCGATGCCTGTTGTCTGGTAAACCGTGTGAGTCTGGGTAAGAGGGAAGGAAGGGAGGGAGGTGCGTGGGACTTGACTCAGGTGTGTGAGTGAGTCACCCTTGCATGCGGGTCTTACTCACCTGCCGGATGTGAAAGGTAAGATTCCTGGAAAGATGAGGAAAGGAGAGAAGATGGGTGATTTACGTTTTTTTTCCTCTTTTTTCTTTGTTCCTTTTTTTGTTTCTCCTGTGGCGAGCGCGAGTATTATGGTCATTTAGGCAATCAGATGGTTATTAACGAGGCTTAACGAGGCATATGCTCGCGAGATTAGAAACTTGAAGACCCCGCATTACTGCTGACTGTTGTTCTGCATTACTTGCCCGAGTCGTGACGCCGAGGCAAAATAAGTGTGCACCGTAGCGTGATGGCGGAGGCGAGAGAGCAGAGCACGCTGGAGGAACTACACTCGAGTGACGGAGTGTTGGGGGGAAGGAGGAAAGAGAGAGAGGAAGGAGGGAGAGAAAGAGAGGACGGGAAAAAAGAGTTGTAGGGGAGGGGGAGAGGGTGATGAAGCGTGTAGTTTGTGAGGTGTGTTTTAGGTAGGCCTAGAGTTTAAAACCGGAGGAAGGAGTTGAAAAGAAGTGCACAAAAAGTGGGCAAAAAAATCGTGAATCTTCGGCAGGCTGTACGTTGGGGGTAACATGACCTTACTCCATCTGCCACGAGCCAAGTTTTTTTTCTATTTAGGTTCTGCCCCTTAGTCCCTTGCACTCCCGCCCTCGCCCAGGAACATCCCAAGGGCCATGCTGTCACGGCAGCATATGGCATGGCATGTTCTTCAAGGGGCTTTTTGCGTTACTTTTTTCTCGTTTGGGGAAGCGATGTGTTTCCCTCCAGCCGTGTAATTTGTCTGACGGGCCGCCCATGCTGGCAGAATTATTTTAGGGGGAGGACCGCTCTCTAAATGTCAAGAAATGTGTGGATCTGTTGTCGGGAGCAAATTGGGCTTTGGTATATTTTGGTTGAGAGAAGCGAGGAGCAAGTTAATTGGCCGTTTTTTATCTCCTTTCTCTGTTCAGCGACTGCTCAATCAGGACTTTCTCAGTTGCAAGATTAGTTGTTTTTTCTCCCCCTCCCTTTTTTGTTTTCTCAGCAAATGCACAGTATTCGGAGAGGTTAGTCACACCCATACCAGCTGGCCGCTACCTCGAGTGCTACCTCGGCACTTCTTGCAGGTGCGTGCCGACGGTCAGCTGTGTGCAATATGGCTGACAGAAGAGGTGGTGCAAGCTAAGTATTAATTACCTCGTCACGAACCCTGTGAGGGAGACTGTTTATGCTGGGGAGAAGAGCTAGGGTTGGGCGGTTGGGTGGGTGTATATAGGAGAGGGGGGAGGAGGCTTGTGTATTCTGAGTGTATTCTCGGGTACTCTGAGAGTCCTTTGATGCTGTCTTGATACAAGGTTTTGCTGTCAGCCGTTTACGCTTTGCATTTCGTCATAATAGTCTTGAACAGCGTATAGGGACAATGGTTGTCCTTGTGGGAACGTGTACAAGTTCGACTGTATCAATACCCCCTCCCTCTCCGTCCTTTTCCCCTCCTCCCCCTCCCCTTTTTTCCCATCGCACCTGCCACACCACCGAAACCGCAGACGCTCTGTGAACCCTCTTGATGTGGTCCCCGCAGCCCATGGCTTTTTCGCTAAGCCGCTTGCGGGGAGAGTCCGGGGAAGGGATCATGGCTTTTATTGTCGATCCGAAAAGCATTGTGGGATTAGGGGCTTCCTTAGCGATGGCGTGCTGTGTGGGGATGTCGTCGGCGTAGGTTGGCGTCGTGCGGGAGGGGCGCGGGGACGACGGGGCGGTACAGGTGCTGGAGTGCGGACGTCGGTGCGTGATTTTTGATAGGGCAACGGGTGGGATAGAGACACGGGCAGAGTTTAAATGTTGGTTGAATTCTTTACATGTAAGAAAAAAATACCTCCCACGCGCACGGATTTCCCTTAAGCTTTTCAGTATCCGGAGCTTTGGCAGACAGAAAGAAGTAGAAAAAAAACGTAGACATAGAATCCGTGTACCTGTAATCCTGCCATTCGGCGTGGGAGTGACAAGGCCAGCTGGTTTCGGGGCGCCAGGTGGTCCTTCAGCGGGATGGGGAGTGGGGGCGGGGGAGAATCGGCGATGTAGGGCTAGGCATAGTTCACCGTCAGGCATCACACGGAGCGCGAGTTGAGGGAATGGACTCGTTTCCCTCGGCAGTTGGTCTCGTTGGGATTGATGAGTAGAAAGATATTTTTTTTTTTATCCCAGCGAATGGTAAAGAGAGATCCCCTGGAGGTTTATCCGTCATCGGGGAGGGATTTCAATGACTACTTATCCTTTGCCACTCGAGCATTTACGAGTATACAACAACAACAACAACAGTAATACGAAATTCAAACAAAAACCACCTTA